CACCCGACCGTTGTTGCTACCTTGACGTGGTGGTCGGGCTTGCCTATCGTGATGAAACAGTCGAGCTATACTGGCTGGAACAATCGCTCATCAAGGTCCTGCCATACCAGACAGGTCGGTTGAAGAACGGTAAGACTAAAAGCAGCAAATTTAAGGTCCGAAGGTGAAGTCATACTGCTGACTGTACAGAGATGTGACGGCAGTAAGGTGCATCTCTCAGACAACCATCATGACAGCAATGCTGCCTTCCCACAAGAAGGAGTGTAGTTAGAAAAGGTCGACCCTAGAAATGCACACCTCGCCTTATCCCACGGATATCCGTCTCCGGCGGTGAGATCTAAACAAGTACGGAGCTAACACGAAAATTACTCTCAGAAAGGTCGTGTATAACCGACCTCAAACAGTTGTCCCTTGGGCACTGCGGTCACGCTCTCAGGTCATTAAGATCACCTCTAGTCCTATTTTCTTTTCAGGTACCTCCAGAAGAACCCTTTCACGGTGTGGGCAACCCGGAAGTGAAAACCGTCCTAATATCTCTAACAGCACTCAAGACCAATGTATTCATAATCAACCTCTTTCTTCAGTCCCTATTATTCCTCGTATATCGACTATCAACACTAAACCTCCTCTTCTGGCTTCCTCCTCAAGTATCACCATAGCCAACGATTCTAGCGCTCGAAACACTGTCCCAGGTCTACTGAAACCTCGCTCCAAACTACACATTGGAGCCTTCAACGTACGCACCCTATGTCAAATCGGTCAGCAGGCTTCCTTGGCTAGAACCCTAGAGTCTCTTTCCATTGATGTATGCTGTGTCTCCGAAACACGCATACAGGATCCTAATGTGGTCATTCACTTCATCTCACCTCGGCAAAACGGAGAGCCGACGAGATACACCCTCCGTGTATCCGGTGACCCGATGGCCAGTTCTCGTGGACTGGCAGGTGTAGGCACAACACTAAGCATGAGGGCGGAACAAGCACTGTTAGAGTGGATCCCCGTTAACTGTCGTTTATGTGCTGTTCGGTCAAACGGCTCCGTAAGAACTCTAAGTGAGAGGAACACACATCGTTGCCCGTTCGTCGTTTCTGCCTACACTCCCACTGACTTCAGCTCGGATGAAGTTAAAGATGACTTTTACAGAAAGCTTTCTGAATAAGTTCAGAAAGCTAAACGCTCAGACATGGTACTTGTAGCAGGTGACTTTAATGCCCAAGTAGGTAACTTAAACCAAACAGAAAGACATTTAGGTGGGTATTTTAGTATTCCAACTCAGCGAACAGATAATGGCGATCGTCTGCTGCAACTGTGCTTAGACAATCGTTTATTTTTAGCAAACACAAATTTTAAGCATAAGGAGAGACATCGTCTAACATGGCGACCACCTACACCAAACCAACGATGGACTCAAATAGACCATATTGCCATCAGTCATCTTTGGAGAGGGTCTGTAGAAGATTGTCGCTCATTCTGGAGTACCTGCGTAGACTCTGACCATGCTCTAATACGGGCACTCATCTGCTTGCACCTCACTGGACGCAGGAAAGCCACACCAAGAAGTCCAATTGGAATTGAATTAAGTGATGAGAAAGCCGAAAATAGATTCCAGGTACAACTGAGGTCACACTTAGGTGGTTCTGAAAACGAGGCTGACCCAGATGTTGCTTGGAAAGATATACAAACAGCCGTGGAAACAGCAGTGACATCTATTAGTGATTTGGACCAAAGGGTCACGTAAAACTAGTGGATTTCTACTAGGTATTGCACTGATGGATTTTCGTAAACTCATCCCACCAGGCTCTGAACACGATGAAGAGCGACAACAAATCAGATCTAGGTGAAGCAAAAGTCTAGGGAACGACCGTGATCAGTGGTGGGCATCGAAAGCAAAAGAGATGGAAAAGACAGCCACTGTAGGTAACACAAGACAGCTCTTCAGACTCAAAAGAAACGGGAACTAAAAAGTCGAGTGTAAATGAGACTATCTCGGAAAAAGACAACACTCTTGTCTACTCTCAACCCAGACATTCAGAACGGTGGGAGGAACACTTTAGAGAACAATTTAGCTGGTATTCATCTACTCTACAACTACCCTCCATTCCCAGACAGTGTGAATGGAACATTGAAGTGGGTCCCCCAACTCTTGCTGAAGTTCAAAAAGCTGTAGTCAGTCTGAATCGGGGAAGAGTAGCTGATTCAGATGGATCGGCTCCAGAGGTCTTTAGGGATGGTGGTCCAATTTAAGTTGTTAGGTTGACTAATATTTAGCTAAAATCTGGGAGTTGGACGTAATCCATCTAAATGGTTACAATCACTGATTATCCCAATATGTAAGAAGAGGTCAAAATCATCCTGTGATAATCATAGAGGGATTAGTCTGACTAATATAGCATCTAAAATACTATCCTCAATAATTATCAGTCGCCTAACTAAGACTCGTGAACTGCAAACACGACAGACTCAAGCTGGCTTCAGACCTGGTCGTGGCTGCATCGACCACATATTCACAATTCGTCAGATTCTAGAACACAGGCATACTTATCGGCGTCCGACAATGGTGGTCTTTCTTGACTTAAAAGCAGCATTTGACTCCGTAGACCGCGAGATTCTGTGGCAGTGTCTGTCATTGAAAGGCGTACCCAGAAGTACATAAACCTTGTGAAGGCTCTTTACTCGAATACTACTAGTCGAGTCAGAGCTTATGGCGAACTGTCATCTGCTTTTGCAACCTCAAGTGGTGTCCGTCAAGGCTGTCCACTTTCCCCATTTTTGTTTAACTTCATCATAGATCTACTGATGGAAATAACTTTCTCGTCGACTGAGTTCTCGGGTATTGATCTCCTTCCAGGAGGTCCACTTATCGACTTAGAATACGCGGATGACATAGTCCTGTTTGGTGAAGACGCTGACAAAATGCAGAGTCTTCTGGTAGCACTGAGCAACAATGCTAGGATGTTTGAAATGCGCTTCTCTCCCTCTAAATGCAAGTTGTTGCTTCAGGACTGGTCTGCGTTAACACCTGAACTAAGGATAGGGAATGAATTAGTCGAACGCGTTGACAACTTCACATATCTTGGAAGTCTGATCAGCCCTAATGGGTTGGTATCGGACGAAATCTCAGCACGGATTCGAAAAGCTCGCTTGGCTTTTGCTAACTTACGTCACCTTTGGCGAAGGCGAGATATCCGTCTATCAATTAAGGGACGAGTATACTGCGCGACAGTTCGTTCTGTTTTAATTTACGGCAGCAAAACACGGCCATTAAGAGTAGAAGATACTCATAAGCTACTAGTATTTGACCACAGATGCCTCAGAAATATTGCTGGCGTCTGCTGGGATCACCGGGTAAGTAATAGTGAGGTTAGACGCAGGGTATTAGGGAATGATGGTAAATCAATTGATGAGGTTGTAAATCTTCATCGACTGAGATGTTTGGGCCACGTGTTGCGTATGCCTGAACACCGATTACCACGACGCGCAAGGCTAACTGGTGTTGGGGATGGTTGGAAGAAAGTTAGGGGCGGCCAAACCAAAACGTGGCGTCAGTGCTTGAAGTCACTAACTTCTAGTCTGAGCCATGTTGGTAGATGCAGACTACTTGGTTGGGGTCCGCGTGACTTTCGTAACCAATGGTTGGAGACCCTTGGTGACATGGCTCAGAATCGATCACAATGGCGTCGGTGTATACACTCCCTGTCTTCCCTTAAACTAAGAGATTAAAATCACTTCATATCTTTCTTTCTACGAACCAATTCTTTCTTCTTGTACAATGTCTATATGCAATCTTCTTCTTATTTATTACCACCTTTGACCTAACCACTGCTATGAATCCGGTGTTCATCTTGTTGTGCTGATGCGGTATGGCAACCTGGACCGATGCACATATGTGCCTGGTCCTACGTTGTAGCTGACTGACTGACTGACTTAGATTTTTCACGCAAGACAGCAAAAATGACAAAGAACGAAACATGCTCTACGATAGCATTAATGATGATCCTCGCTTCAATTTTGTTGGCTGTCAGGTGCAATGTTAAAATTGCGAACAAGAGTAGAGTTTATCCTCAGTCCTTTTAAGCGCTTTGAGTATTATGTCTACCAGTTATTGCATAATGTGTTTATGTATTTACATAGAATGATGACATTCAATTTATTTATTGTTATAAGTTCATTTTATTAATACTTGAATAATTTACTCCAGATTCAATCGTATTCACTGAACATTTGTTTTATCATAAAAACTAAGATTTCAAGGGTTTCTCGTTTTCCTTTTGATATTGTCTGCTACTGTAATTTCGACACAACTAACAACTGTCATTTGCCTATTCCATGTTGTTACAAGTAACCTTCAGTCGATTTTAGTAAGCAGCCTTCTATGATTATGCCAACACGGTAAGTACCGTAGCCCTTCGCAAATTAAAGTTTGTAATCCATTCCATGCATTTTCATTATAACAGTATAGTATTTTCGGAAAAACTTGAGTTTTTGATCACCAGACTTTACAGGTCACTTAATCGTGTGATCAAAAGGTTCGATTACTGCGAAAACACTAACGAAGTTAGCAATATTATATTCAGGAATTTTGTTAGAGTGGATAGATTTGCTTATTTACATTTTAAGGTGACAGTTGCGTACGAGGTACTTCGGGCGGTCCTTTCGACATTATGAAGATCATATATAAGAAAGAACATGTCTTTTTATCACAATTAAACCTCTTACACACAATCAGTAAAATAATTAAATAAGCTTACTAACTGATTGCACATGTTATGCGTGGTCATTAAAAATTGATAGATAGAAAAGGAAAATAATACCTGCATTAATACAATGATTCTTTGGAAATTATTTATCGGTTTATATCACGACTGTCAGTCATATCTATTTTCTATTGACGTTAGGAGTGTAACTCAATTCCTCAAGTATTAACTATATCACAAAAGTAAAAATCACAACAGATATGCAAACGTTTAGAGGTTCTGACTAAAAAACAGTTGGACACTCACCCTCATCAGCTGTTTTGGTTCCCTTGTGACTAGTCATATCAGTATCGCAATAGCCAGGACAACACTGTCAAATTAATAAAAAAAACTAAAAATTAATTCTTTTGATATGATTATATCAGGTGTGATGAACACCTAGTAATTTTAATCTGGAAACAAACTTTTAAATAACCTAATTTAAATTTTGGGATTAACAAATTGTTTTATTACTGTATGTGATCATTACGTAGAACAACATTCATGAACGATAAATTCAACAGAAAATAATCTTAAGAATTAAATTCAAGTATATAGGATAAGAATATTATATCCCTTAAATGGCGTACATGTTGAAACTGTAAATAATTAGCATTTTAAAGATCACTTTGTTCGAACTAATTAACTAAGAAATAAGGATAAATAGATGCTCTCAAAACTAACCATAAACACATAGAGCTCAAAGAATATCAAACTAAAAAAAATGATGGAAGTAGGTTAAATACAAATTGTCAGCTTTAGAGGAAAAGGATAACTATATTATTGATATTATTATTATGTTAAATAACAAAGATAACTTTATATAATATGATGTGGTAACCAATTCATTATTACATGAATAAATCCAACGAATAACTTGATTGAATTATTTCTCGTTCTATGCTACTCTGATTGTAACTTAAGAATGGATATCATTCGCCACCAATATAGAACTTATATATCATAAGTCAGGTTAATTCATCCAACTTTTATATAGATATTTCTAAATTTGACTAATGAGAATGTATTCAAGTTTGAAAATGTGACAACCTTATTAGAAAATTCTAGCAAACTACTTTTGCTTTAAATGGAGCAATTTTCCTGTTAAGTTAATGCTTTTAATATCTGTAAAACTTATGTCTGAAATAACCTCAACCAACTGATATTTAGAAAATTGCAGCGTTTCACCCGACAAACTGACTTGAGTTTCCTCAGGGAAATAATTGAAATCAGGACTATCAAACATAAATAAAGTTTACAAACGAATTGTTCGTTCTCATTTTAACGAATGTGGACATAAACTCTCATGATAAAGTTGGTTTTTTTCAGTAGTAAATAGTAGTGTTTACATTCATTCAATTATCAATACATAAAGGGCCAGATCTAATTTTATGTCATGGAAAAATTTATGGAAAAAACTGCACCCATGAACATTGAAAAATATAAACAACAGTTCATTTCAAACGAAATGGAAGTTTCTAATAAAGCTCCCTATAACAACGCGACGAAAATTTAGTGCAACTTAATTACACAAATAAAATTATTATGATGCTTGAGTAACTTATTTTAGAATCTCAAGAACTAAGTGATGCGTAGGCGAGGAAATTAATGATTAGTCGTTTGCTTAGTCAGACTAGTAGATAATCTGACAGATATTAGATGAGTTATATAATTCCTTACCCTTATTATTACTGTGATTGTTGTCGGTTTTTGGTGTGGAAATATACTTATGATCTAGTTAGGTTAATCACATGTTCTTGATCTGAGTTGTGCTGAAGTACTATAGAATAAACACTGGAAGTGTCACTAGAGTAGATATTCGTTCAGGGTAAAATAACGTCTCATTCGTGCAGACGGGAAAACCGAGCGTTATAACACTAAGATATCAACAAACCAATAAGATCACGACACCCAAGTCTTACAGCTCAAAAAGAGTTACAAGCACGTATTGTGGCTTCCCACATTTTGGATTGACGAAAAAGTATGCAATACATAATAACAAGATAATCAGTTACTTCGTTGTGGATAAATATAGCTAATTTGAACTATCCCGATCGAAGCTGCTACCTTGACGCGGTGGTCGGGCTTGCCTATCGTGATGACCCAACCGAGCTATATTGGCTGGAACATATGTTCCTGTAGGTTCTACCATGCCAGGCAGGTCGATTGGAAACGGTAAGACTAAAAGCAGCAACTCAAGGTCTGAGGGCGAAGTCGTACTGCTGACTGTAGAGGGTGTGACAGCAGTAAGGTGTTTCCCTCGGACAACCAGCATGACAGCGATGCTGCCTTCCCACAAGGAGGGGTGGGGTTAGAAAAGGTCGACCCTAAAAATGTCACACCTCACCTTACCTCACGGATTTCCGTCTCCGGCGGTAAGGCCCTTTGAAGAACGGAGCTAACACGTCAAAAACCTTCCACAAAAAGGCCGTGCGCGACCGGCCTCAAGCAGTTGTCCCTTGGGCTCTGCGGTCACGCTCCCAGGTCGTCAAGACCAACACTAATCCAATTTCCTTTTCAGGTTCCTCAAGAAATACCCTTCCACGGTGTGGGCAGCCGGGAAGTGACATCAGCCCTCATACCCGTAACAGCACAAGAGACCAAGGTGGTCACATTCAAATCCTTCCTACACCTAATAACTCTCTTATCTCCATGACTAACCCTCCTCACGTCTCTTTATCACCTCGCACCGCTAGGGCAAACGATTCGAGTACGTGGAACGCCATTCCTGGTCTCCTGAAACCACGCTCTAAACTACACGTAGGAGCTTTTAACGTACGAACACTTTGCCAAATAGGACAGCAGGCTTCCTTAGCTAAAACTTTAGAATCTCGCGCCATCGATGTGTGCTGCGTCTCCGAAACGCGCATACAGGATCCAAGTAGCGTCATTCATTTGACCTCACCATGCCAAAATAAAGAACCGACTCGATTTACGCTTCGTGTATCTGGAAGCCCTGATTCTGCTTCCCGTGGCCTCGCCGGCGTAGGTATAGCATTGAGTCCTAGGGCAGAACTAGCTCTCTTAGAGTGGATCCCAGTAGACAGTCGTTTGTGCGCTGTCCGACTGAACGGAACAGTAAGAATCCGGAAAGATAGGGACACTCGTCGTTGCCTCTTCGTCGTCTCTGCCTATTCTCCCACTGACTGCAGCTCAGATGATGTAAAAGATGAGTTTTACAGAAAGCTTTCGGACCTTCTCCGAAAAGCTAGGCGCTCGGATGTAGTAATAGTGGCCGGTGACTTTAATGCTCAAGTAGGTAAACTAAGCGATAGGGAAAGACACCTAGGTGGATCTTATGGTGTCGTGGCTCAAAGAACAGATAATGGCGACCGTCTGTTGCAGCTATGCTCAGATAACCGCCTGTTCCTTGCAAATACTAACTTTAAGCATAAGGAAAAACATCTTTTAACATGGCGACCCCCTAATTCGTCCCAACGTTGGACCCAAATAGATCACATCGCTATCAGCCACCGATGGAGGGGCTCGATAGAAGACTGTCGCTCATTCTGGAGCACATGCCTAGATTCAGATCATGCTCTAGTGCGAGCGCGTATTTGCTTGCGTCTTACTGGACGTAGGAAAGACGCTGCAAGGAAACCTCTTAGGGCCTACTTAATGATAGTCAAGCTAAGAGTATATTTCAGGAACAACTAGGAAAACAGTTAGGCAGCCATGTATGTGATGCCCACCCCGATGCAGCATGGAATGATATCCGAAAAGCTGTGGAAACAGCAGTGATATCTGCTAGTAAGGTAAACCAGAAGGTTAGGGAGCAACACTGGATCTCAGCAGCATCTATCGCACTGATAGATGCTCGGAAACTCATTCCACCTGGCTCTGAACATAATGAAGAGCGGAGTCAGCTTAAGCGCAAGCTGACAAGAAGTCTACGCAATGATCGCGAACAGTGGTGGGTAGCGAAAGCAAGAGAGATGGAAAAGGCAGCGGCAATAGGTAATAGCAGACAATTGTTCAGACTCGTTAAGGAAACCGGAATTAGGAACCCGACCGTTAGCGAAACAATCTCAGAGAAAGATGGACATATTATTCATTCTCAATCCAGGAGATTGGATCGATGGGCAGAACACTTTAGGGATCAGTTCAACTGGCCTTCAGCCACACTTCGGTTTCCCACGATCTCCAGTCAACCTGAATGGCAAGTTAATGTAGGTCCTCCGTCCCTTTACGAAGTTGAAAAAGCCATAGGAAATCTGAAACGAGGGAGAGCAGCAGGCCCTGACAGGTTTACTCCTGAGATTTTTAAGGATGGTGGTCCAGTATTAGCAATGAGATTAACTGAGGTCTTAGGTAGAATTTGGGAACTGGACGTAATCCCATCTGACTGGTCTCAATCACTGATTGTGCCAGTCTATAAGAAAGGACAAAAGTCCTCTTGTGACAATCACAGAGGAATCAGTTTGACTAATATAGTGTCTAAAATATTAGCTTCAATAATACTTCGACGCCTAACAAAGCTCGTGAAGAGCAGACTAGAGAAAACCAGGCTGGTTTTCGACCTGGACGTGGTTGTATAGATCAGATATTCACACTACGTCAGGTTCTAGAACACAGACACACATTCAGACGCCCCACAATGGTAGTATTTCTCGACCTTAAGGCGGCATTCGACTCTGTTGATCGTGAGGTTCTATGGCAGTGTTTGTCACTGAAAGGAGTACCAAAGAAGTACATTAACCTTATAAAGGCTCTCTACTCGAACACAACTGGTAGAGTGAGAGCTTATGGCGAACTGTCATCAGAATTGATTACCTCAAGTGGTGTTCGTCAGGGCTGTCCACTCTCCCCATTCTTGTTCAACTTTGTGGTCGACGTACTTTTAGAGATAACACTCTCCTCATCTAAATTTCCAGGGGTTGAACTTCTACCAGGAGGTTCACTTGTTGACTTAGAATATGCTGATGACATAGTTTTATTTGGTGAAGACGCTGACAAAATGCAGAGTCTTCTGACCACTCTAAGCAACAATGCAAGCATGTTCGGGATGCGATTCTCTCCCTCGAAATGCAAAATGTTGCTTCAGGATTGGGTTACATCGACACCCGAACTAGTGATAGGGAGTGAAGTAGTTGAGTGTGTCGACCGCTTCACTTATCTTGGAAGTCTCATCAGCCCTTGTGGTTTGGTGTGTGACGAAATCTCAGCACGGATACAGAAGGCTCGACTAGCTTTTGCCAACTTGCGTCATTTATGGCGTAGGCGAGATATCCGTCTATCAACCAAAGGACGTGTTTACTGCGCAGCAGTTCGTTCCGTCCTACTTTATGGCAGTGAAACATGGCCGGTAAGAGTAGAGGATATTCGTAGGTTACTAGTATTTGATCATAGGTGTCTTCGAAACATTGCTCGTATATCATGGGACCATCGAGTAAGTAACACAGTTGTTAGGAAACGGGTACTAGGTAAGGATGGCAAATCAATTGATGAAGTAGTGAAACTTCATCAGTTGAGATGGCTGGGACACGTGTTACGTATGCCCAACGACCGACTGCCTCGACGTGCTATGTTCAGTGGTATAGGAGTAGGTTGGAAGAAAGCTAGGGGCGGCCAAACCAAAACATGGCACAAGTCCATGAAGTCACTGACAAGTGGACTGAGTCATGTTGGTAGGTGTAGACTACCTGGTTGGGGACCGCGAGATGATAGCAACCGATGGTTAGAGACCCTGAATGACATGGCTCAAAATCGTTTGCAATGGCGCAGGTGCATCCACTCTCTGTGTTCTCCCAAATTCTAATCTTCTGAATCCTTCATGTCCCTTTTTTCCTCTTTCCAAATTTATTTCACTGGATTATACTCTTTAAATAACATCTCCAAACCCTAATCTTCCCGATTACTGCTTATACTCTTATTACCTCTACCACTACGGGATTTGAATCGACAACTGCATCTCTGTGCTAATGTGGTGTGGCAACTCGAACTGATGTACGTACGTACGAAGTTCTACGTTGTTACTGACTGACTGAATTTGAACTAATAATGGATTTGCATATAATCACTGGATTACCTGGTATTTTATTTTACAAAACGAATACTATTCTAATCTTAAGATAAGAACAATTTGCATAAAAATAGACACAAACCATCACAATATCAACAAAACAAACTAACCGAATTTATCACAATCCCTCTTGGATCATCTTTCAGCATTTCACCGAAAATAAATGAAGCCTTTGTAAGGCCTATTTTAGACACACCATAAGCATTTTGTGGCCAACCTTTTTCAGAATAAGTACCATCCTCAGCGGACCTAATTACAGATTTGAACAAAAACCAATTACCCAGTAAATAAATCTAGAAGGATTAAAAACTAATTCAATATTTAGGTGGATATAGTCACCTCGCAAAATAATAGTACTGAAAAATTAACAGGAAATAAATTTAGGAAATAATATACTAGGGACGATAATCGCTACCATATATGGATCAAAAGAAGCCAATCTACACTGGTAGTTTAAGATGAAGGTTTTCATTTTCCAGTCTATCGAAAAACTTATGTTACTTTGGTTATTCACTGAAAGCTTTAGTAGGAACCAACACCCTACATACTGCTTGAACAGCGATCAGTAAATTTACTGACCGCAACCGCAACAGTTTAGAGAAGCCACCTTTGGTACAAATACAACTGGTTATGATAGTAAACAGGATAACACCTCAAGACTAGTTACTCGATGATTTCTCTGCCATGACTAACATTTAGGAGCTTCATACTTAGCCATTTACTTAGGCCTGCTACCCCACGTGAACCATAGGTCGCCGATCAGGATTCTACACGCAACTCTGTTCAACGTTCGCATTCCCAGTGGTTCACAAGTACTACTCATGGTCTCGATGTCTGTCTCCAATTTCCGGATCTATGTGTCTTTCGGCCTGCTGTTTTTCCTTCTGACATAAGGATCCTAAGATAGGACTTGCCTCGTGATGCAGCTTAATGATTTTCACAAGTTATGTCCTATCTACCTCTAACGTCTTTTTCTAATTTCCTCTTCATCTGGAAGTTAGTTTGTTTCCCGCCACAGTAGGCTACTGATGATTTATTCTGGTAGATAGACCTGAGGTATCGTGAGTAGACAATCATTTATAAATACCTGTACCTTCTTGATGATTGCTGTGGTATTTCTCTAAGTTTCAACTCCGTACAATAGAACTGTTTGGACATTTGCACTAAAAAATTCTGAACCCGACATTGGCTGACAGTTGTTTTGAGTTCCGGATATTCTTCAACTGTAGGGATGCTGTCCTTACTTTGCCAATCCGTGGCTTCACATCTGTATCACATTACCTTTCTTTATCAATAATGCAGTTCCGGTGCGTAAAATTTCCGCCTTCTCCACAGCTTCTCTATCGAGTGTGATTTGGTCGGTGTCGCTGTGCTATATTTTAGGATCTCAGAAAATTTGTCTCACAATAATTTTAACTTTTACTCAACATGATTAAATCGTTAGGATGACCGAAATTTGATATAAGATTGTCTGGACATTGGCCAGATTTTATCTTATTAAGGATATTGCTGGCCTCTCTCTGTAACTCGCAACCGTTCTATATTTCAGCTGGAAATTTATCAGATTATATATATATGGTTTCTGAGTGTGATTCCAGCTTTGGTCGCTTGAACACATGCTCTTTCAATAAACCGATGAGAAATGAGATTTAATGAACACATCATTAAATTGGAAAATTGATTTTACTTTTGTGACTGAAAATAACGTATTTTTAGATCTCTAACTGAGACTTGAAAAACAGTAGTTTGGTTATACCTGAAAACTGGACTTGAGTGATAACTTGGACTGAAAATTGAGTTATAACTGGGACCATACAGCTGTAACAAAAAAACTGAAACTTTTAGACCAACGCTGTCGCTACTGTTATTTCGGAAGAAAACCAAATGTTGTTTCCTTGTGTTGGATCATATTAGGTCAAGTGTGATTAGATCATAATGGCACGAAAGCAGTTGCATGGTTACTCTCTGGTCCGATTATCGATTAGTTCACCTATATTCTTAATAGGATTGATGACCTTTCAACCGGCTGACACATCAACTAATGAACAGCAACCAATACTTTAACAAACTTCATCCAACCCAGTGAATAAGGAGAAAACGAAGGTAGAAAGCAGATCAGTTCTCTAATGCACTGCATTCATTTATGACACAAAACTCATACAATAATGTACTTGAAAAATATCTCAGTCAGTCAGTTAAAAAGTAGGACCAGGCACATATATGCATAGGTCCAATTTGCCACACCTCATTAGTATAACATGATGAATAACAAATTCATAGTAGTTACTACAATGGTATTAATGTATAAAAGGAAGACTGTGTATAAGAGTATAGTACATGAAGAAAGAATTAGTTCGTAGAAATAAAGATATAAAGCGACTCTAATCTCACGGTTTAAGGGAAGACAAAGAGTGTATACACCGACGCCATTGTGATCGATTCTGAGCCATGTCACCAAGAGTCTCCAACCATTGGTTACGAAAGTCACGCGGACCCCAACCAAGTAGTCTGCATCTACCAACATGGCTCAGACTAGAAGTTAGTGACTTCAAGCACTGATGCCACGTTTTGGTTTGGCCGCCCCTAACTTTCTTCCAACCATCCCCAACACCAGTTAGCCTTGCGCGTCGTGGTAATCGGTGTTCAGGCATACGCAACACGTGGCCCAAACATCTCAGTCGATGAAGATTTACAACCTCATCAATTGATTTACCATCATTCCCTAATACCCTGCGTCTAACCTCACTATTACTTACCCGGTGATCCCAGCAGACGCCAGCAATATTTCTGAGGCATCTGTGGTCAAATACTAGTAGCTTATGAGTATCTTCTACTCTTAATGGCCGTGTTTTGCTGCCGTAAATTAAAACAGAACGAACTGTCGCGCAGTATACTCGTCCCTTAATTGATAGACGGATATCTCGCCTTCGCCAAAGGTGACGTAAGTTAGCAAAAGCCAAGCGAGCTTTTCGAATCCGTGCTGAGATTTCGTCCGATACCAACCCATTAGGGCTGATCAGAATTCCAAGATATGTGAAGTTGTCAACGCGTTCGACTAATTCATTCCCTATCCTTAGTTCAGGTGTTAACGCAGACCAGTCCTGAAGCAACAACTTGCATTTAGAGGGAGAGAAGCGCATTTCAAATATCCTAGCATTGTTGCTCAGTGCTACCAGAAGACTCTGCATTTTGTCAGCGTCTTCACCAAACAGGACTATGTCATCCGCGTATTCTAAGTCGATAAGTGGACCTCCTGGATGGAGATCAATGCCCGGAACGTTATTTCCATTAGTATATCTATGACGAAGTCGAACAAAAATGGAGACAGTGGACAGCCTTGACGGACACCACTTGAGGTTGCAAAAGCAGATGACAGTTCGCCATAAGCTCTGACTCGACTAGTAGTATTCGAGTAAAGAGCCTTCACAAGGTTTATGTACTTCTGGGGTACGCCTTTCAATGACAGACACTGCCACAGAATCTCGCAGTCTACGGAGCTAAATGCTGCTTTTAAGTCAAGAAAGATCACCATTGTCGGACGCCGATAAGTATGCCTGTGTTCTAAAACCTGACGAATGATGAATATATGGTCGATACAGCCACAACTAGGTTTGAAGTCAGCCTGATTTTTCGTGTTTGCAGTTCACGAGTCTTTGTTAGGCGACTGATAATTATTGAGGATAGTATTTTAGATGCTATATTAGTCAGACTAATCCCTCTATGATTATCACAGGATGATTTTGACCTCTTCTTACATATTGGGATAATCAGTGATTGTAACCATTTAGATGGATTACGTCCAACTCCCAGATTTTAGCTAAATATTAGTCAACCTAACAACTTAAATTGGACCACCATCCCTAAAGACCTCTGGAGCCGATCCATCTGAATCAGCTACTCTTCCCCGATTCAGACTGACTACAGCTTTTTGAACTTCAGCAAGAGTTGGGGGACCCACTTCAATGTTCCATTCACACTGTCTGGGAATGGAGGGTAGTTGTAGAGTAGATGAATACCAGCTAAATTGTTCTCTAAAGTGTTCCTCCCACCGTTCTGAATGTCTGGGTTGAGAGTAGACAAGAGTGTTGTCTTTTTCCGAGATAGTCTCATTTACACTCGACTTTTTAGTTCCCGTTTCTTTTGAGTCTGAAGAGCTGTCTTGTGTTACCTACAGTGGCTGTCTTTTCCATCTCTTTTGCTTTCGATGCCCACCACTGATCACGGTCGTTCCCTAGACTTTTGCTTCACCTAGATCTGATTTGTTGTCGCTCTTCATCGTGTTCAGAGCCTGGTGGGATGAGTTTACGAAAATCCATCAGTGCAATACCTAGTAGAAATCCACTAGTTTTACGTGACCCTTTGGTCCAAATCACTAATAGATGTCACTGCTGTTTCCACGGCTGTTTGTATATCTTTCCAAGCAACATCTGGGTCAGCCTCGTTTTCAGAACCACCTAAGTGTGACCTCAGTTGTACCTGGAATCTATTTTCGGCTTTCTCATCACTTAATTCAATTCCAATTGGACTTCTTGGTGTGGCTTTCCTGCGTCCAGTGAGGTGCAAGCAGATGAGTGCCCGTATTAGAGCATGGTCAGAGTCTACGCAGGTACTCCAGAATGAGCGACAATCTTCTACAGACCCTCTCCAAAGATGACTGATGGCAATATGGTCTATTTGAGTCCATCGTTGGTTTGGTGTAGGTGGTCGCCATGTTAGACGATGTCTCTCCTTATGCTTAAAATTTGTGTTTGCTAAAAATAAACGATTGTCTAAGCACAGTTGCAGCAGACGATCACCATTATCTGTTCGCTGAGTTGGAATACTAAAATACCCACCTAAATGTCTTTCTGTTTGGTTTAAGTTACCTACTTGGGCATTAAAGTCACCTGCTACAAGTACCATGTCTGAGCGTTTAGCTTTCTGAACTTATTCAGAAAGCTTTCTGTAAAAGTCATCTTTAACTTCATCCGAGCTGAAGTCAGTGGGAGTGTAGGCAGAAACGACGAACGGGCAACGATGTGTGTTCCTCTCACTTAGAGTTCTTACGGAGCCGTTTGACCGAACAGCACATAAACGACAGTTAACGGGGATCCACTCTAACAGTGCTTGTTCCGCCCTCATGCTTAGTGTTGTGCCTACACCTGCCAGTCCACGAGAACTGGCCATCGGGTCACCGGATACACGGAGGGTGTATCTCGTCGGCTCTCCGTTTTGCCGAGGTGAGATGAAGTGAATGACCACATTAGGATCCTGTATGCGTGTTTCGGAGACACAGCATACATCAATGGAAAGAGACTCTAGGGTTCTAGCCAAGGAAGCCTGCTGACCGATTTGACATAGGGTGCGTACGTTGAAGGCTCCAATGTGTAGTTTGGAGCGAGGTTTCAGTAGACCTGGGACAGTGTTTCGAGCGCTAGAATCGTTGGCTATGATGACACTTGAGGAGGTTGCCGAAAAAGAAAGTTTAGGGTTGAAAGTCGATGTAGGAGGAATAATAGGAATTGAAGAGGAAGGTTGATTATGAATACATTGGTCTTGAGTGCTGTTAGAGATATTAGGGCGGTTTTCACTTCCGGGTTGCCCACACCGTGAAAGGGTTCTTCTGGAGGTACCTGAAAAGAAAATAGGACTAGAGGTGATCTTAATGACCTGAGAGCGTGACCGCAGTGCCCAAGGGACAACTGTTTGAGGTCGGTTATACACGACCTTTCTGAGAGTAATTTTCGTGTTAGCTCCGTACTTGTTTAGATCTCACCGCCGGAGACGGATATCCGTGGGATAAGGCGAGGTGTGCATTTCTAGGGTCGACCTTTTCTAACTACACTCCTTCTTGTGGGAAGGCAGCATTGCTGTCATGATGGTTGTCTGAGAGATGCACCTTACTGCCGTCACACCTGTGTACAGTCAGCAGTACGACTTCGCCTTCGGACCTTGGGTTTGTTGCTTTTAGTCTTACCGTTCTTCAACCGACCTGTCTGGTATGGCAGGACCTTGATGAGCGATTGTTCCAGCCAGTATAGCTCGACTGTTTCATCACGATAGGCAAGCCCGACCACCACGTCAAGGTAGCAACGACGGTCGAGACCTCTACCACTACGGGATTTGAATCGACAACTGCATCTCTGTGTTAATGTGGTATGGCAACTCGAACTGATGTACGCACGTACGAAGTTCTACGTTGTTACTGACTGACTGAAAGATATGATACGGGAAGAAAGAATTAGTTAGCCCTTCTAGGGTTGTTGCCGGTCCCAAGTCCAGATATAGGGGGGTTGGGCATAGCGTCAGCAAACCTATCCCGTAAAAAGCAACCATGATGAAAAAACGCTAACCATCAAAAAACCATTTAGATTCTCCCTTGGGAGTTAAGGGATTTTGGAAACCTAAGGGCAACAGGAAAAGAAGACCAACGAACACATAGCGCAGGAAATTGGAGACAGACATAAAAAAACGAATGCGATCGGAAACAAGTGGGAAGGAGAGCCCAGACCAAAGTCGGTTGAAGAAACCTGGTGGGCAGTCTATGCTCCACGAGGAGTAACAGGAGTACACAAGTTGTAAGAATATAAAGGAGAGGAATATAATTACCAATCAAGAACGTCACAGACCAATCTAAGGAAGTGAGTATTTGAACAACGAACTACGAAGTCACATTAACTCGGAACAAAAATAGTTGTTATCAACGTAAGGAGCATAACAAAACCTTTTAAAAAAACGGATTATTAGATGACTGAAACGAGGCACTTTTTGTTAACTCTATCAAAATTAAAACAAAACAACTGAAGGGGAATTTAAATCACTAAAATGATGAACAATGATAAAAGTTTCATATTGGTTATAATTTGATGACAAGTTATGACCCATTATGGATCGGTGCGAAAAATGAAGGTTAGTAATTCTCAACTCTAGGAAGTCAAAGGATGTAACATCCCTGTGACAAATGCACCGTAAGTTACAGGGATTTGTTGTGAATAGTGATATAACGTACGGTTTCACATTTTTTCACTCTTACGTATTCTACAATGGCATGTCAATACGATAAAGAGGCTAGTCACGTTATACGAGATTCAGGATTCACGACTCAGAGTAGAGAACCAGATTATACTAGATAATACTTTATTCAATACAACTACAAGTAGTCACGCTCAGTGAGTCCGGAGTAGAAGTCAATGACAGGAAAGAATGTCACATACTTAATAGTCCGTATGCTACGTGCCTGTTTGTCCACTCTAAACGACCGACCATATTTTACTTTTACTACTACACATCAAATCGATTACGTAATGTGAGTGTGAGATAAGAGTTTGATGACTTTGTATGCATTCTTCAATTACAAAAAGACATAAAGGTATCTTATCAGAATGCTATTCCAGTAACTCACTGTGGATTAGATACAAAAAAGTTACACCCAAGAGATATGAAAATTTATTTGATGTAACTATGGTAATCTTGGTTTGAACTATTTGCTCTGTTGATCTATTATTCCCTAAATTAGAATAAAATGACTTACTTAACAAACTCGGAGACGAGCTTTCGAAGTTCCAAAAGATTGATTGGACTAACGAACTTTTCGTAAAGATCATCACTAAGTTTCTTGAGACTGGTTAGAGAAACAGAACTAGATACATTGACAACCCTGTAAAAATATAAATTAGTATAAATTAGTACCTAGCATGTTTAGCCAACAAAGGAATGAACTCTTCCATGAAATCAATGGTTGATGTGAAGTTGGTGTTCACCGTAACTCGTGCTTGCTCGCCAAAGGGAGCCGTGGAGTTAACCTTTGAATAATATAAAATAAAAAACAAAAACTTTGTAGGCAAATCCAGCATTATTCACTGCAATGTTGATTCCATTAGGATAGTTTCTCTCTACAAATGTTAGGAACGCTTTTCGACTATCTCGATCAGTTATATCTAGTTGATGAAATTTAACATCCAGGCCCTTGTTACTGAGCTTCTCCACAGCTTCCTGACCAAGCTCAACATTTCGAGCTGTTAAATTATCAACCAACAACTTCTTACCTGTTAGATAAATATCCCACTCTCCTGATGTCCCATAAAATTCTGCAAGCTTTTCAACAATGCTATATCCAATGCCTTTGTTTGACCCAGTTACCTAAAGAGGAGTAATAAATTTTTTGTAAGATGAGTGAACTCATCACACGAATGCCAGTTTCATTACACTTTTTCAGAATATCACAAGGTCTGAAATTTTAGAAAACAGAAGACATGAAAAATACAGTAAGATTCTATTAAGTAGGTTAATACTTGGAAAGATACTAGATTGACATCATTCAGAATCATAGTTAACTAACGTTTCAATACTAGTAACAAGTAAAATCTATTGCGGCAGACTGAAGAACGAATTCCCGACCGACGCTGCTACCTTGACGCGGTGGTCGGGCTCGCCTATCGTGATGACCCAACTGAGCTACATTGGCTGGAACATATGTTCCTGTAGGTTCTATCATGCCAGGCAAGTCGGTTGGAAAACGGTAAGACTAAAAGCAGCAACTCAAGGTCTGAGGGCGAAGTCGTACTGCTGACTGTAGAGGGGTGTGACAGCAGTAAGGTATTTCCCTCAGACAACCAGCATCTGAAGCGATGCTGCCTTCCCACAAGGAGGGGTGGGGTTAGAAAAGGTCGACCCTCAAAATGTCACACCTCACCTTACCTCACGGATTTCCGTCTCCGGTGGTAAGGCCTTTGAAGAACGGAGCTAACACATTAAAAACCTTTCACGAAGAGGCCGTATGCGACCGGCCTCAAGCAGTTGTCCTTTGGGCTCTGCCATCACGCTCCCAGGTCGTTAAGACCAACACTAATCCAGTTTCCTTTTCAGGTTCCTCAAGAAATACCCTTCCACGGTGTGGGCAGCCGGGAATCGATATCAGCCCTCATACCCGTAACAGCACACAACACCAAGTTGGTCACATTCAAATCCCTCCTACACCTAATAACTCTCTTATCTCCATGACTAACCCTCCTCACGTCTCTTTATCACCTCGCACCGCTAGGGCTAACGATTCGAGTACGCGGAACGCTATTCCCGGTCTCTTGAAACCACGCTCTAAACTACACGTAGGAGCTTTCAACGTCCGAACACTGTACCAAATAGGACAACAGGCTTCCTTAGCTAGGACTTTAGAATCCCGCCCCGAATGTTCTCTCTTTTTTTGTTGCGCTCCTTAGCTTTTTTTTCTTTCTTTGTATTCCTCTCGAATTTTCATTGTTTTGGGTGGCGCATATATATTGGCGCTCTCTTGTACCAATATTCATGTGTCGAAATAAATAAATAATTAGAATACCGCGCCATCGATGTGTGCTGAGTCTCCGAAACGCGTATACAGGATCCGAGTAGCGTCATTCATTTGACCTCACCATACCAAAATAAAGAACCAACACGATTCACAATTCGTGTATCTGGAAGCCCTGATTCTGCTTCCCGTGGCCTCGCCGGCGTACGTATAGCATTGAGTCCTAGGGCAGAACTAGCTCTCTTAGACTGGATCCCAGTAGACAGTCGTTTGTGCGCTGTCCGACTAAACGGAACAGTAAAGACTCGAAAAGATAGGGACACTCGTCGTTGCCTCTTCGTCGTCTCTGCTTATTCTCCCACTGACTGCAGCGCAGATGATGTAAAAGATGAGTTTTACAGAAAGCTCTCCGACCTTCTCCGAAAAACTAGGCGCTCGGATGTAGTAACAGTGGCCGGTGGCTTTATTGCTCAAGTAGGTAAACTAAGCGATAGGGCAAGACACCTGGGTGGATCTTATGGTGTCGTGGCTCAAAGAACAGATAATGGCGACCGTCTGTTGCAGCTATGCTCAGATAACCGCCTGTTCCTTACAAATGCTAACTTTAAGCATAAGGAAAAACATCTTTTAACATGGAGACCCTAATTCGTCCCAACGTTGAAGAGCGGAGTCAGCTTAAGCGCAAGCTGACAAGAAGTCTACGCAATGATCGTGAACAGTGGTGGGTAGCGAAAGCAAGAGAGATGGAAAAGGCAGCGGCAATAGGTAATAGCAGACAATTGTTCAGACTCGTTAAGGAAACCGGAATTAGGAACCCGACCGTTAGCGAAACAATCTCAGAGAAAGATGGACATATTATTCATTCTCAATCCAGGAGATTGGATCGATGGGCAGAACACTTTAGGGATCAGTTCAACTGGCCTTCAGCCACACTTCGGTTTCCCACGATCTCTAGTCAACCTGAATGGCAAGTTAATGTAGGTCCTCCGTCCCTTTACGAAGTTGAAAAAGCCATAGGAAATCTGAAACGAGGGAGAGCAGCAGGCCCTGACAGGTTTACTCCTGAGATTTTTAAGGATGGTGGTCCAGTATTAGCAATGAGATTAACTGAGGTCTTAGGTAGAATTTGGGAACTGGACGTAATCCCATCTGACTGGTCTCAATCACTGATTGTGCCAGTCTATAAGAAAGGACAAAAGTCCTCTTGTGACAATCACAGAGGAATCAGTTTGACTAATATAGTGTCTAAAATATTAGCTTCAATAATACTTCGACGCCTAACAAAGCTCGTGAAGAGCAGACTAGAGAAAACCAGGCTGGTTTTCGACCTGGACGTGGTTGTATAGATCAGATATTCACACTACGTCAGGTTCTAGAACACAGACACACATTCAGACGCCCCACAATGGTAGTATTTCTCGACCTTAAGGCGGCATTCGACTCTGTTGATCGTGAGGTTCTATGGCAGTGTTTGTCACTGAAAGGAGTACCAAAGAAGTACATTAACCTTATAAAGGCTCTCTACTCGAACACAACTGGTAGAGTGAGAGCTTATGGCGAACTGTCATCAGAATTGATTACCTCAAGTGGTGTTCGTCAGGGCTGTCCACTCTCCCCATTCTTGTTCAACTTTGTCGTCGACGTACTTTTAGAGATAACACTCTCCTCATCTAAATTTCCAGGGGTTGAACTTCTACCAGGAGGTTCACTTGTTGACTTAGAATATGCTGATGACATAGTTTTATTTGGTGAAGACGCTGACAAAATGCAGAGTCTTCTGACCACTCTAAGCAACAATGCAAGCATGTTCGGGATGCGATTCTCTCCCTCGAAATGCAAAATGTTGCTTCAGGATTGGGTTACATCGACACCCGAACTAGTGATAGGGAGTGAAGTAGTTGAGTGTGTCGACCGCTTCACTTATCTTGGAAGTCTCATCAGCCCTTGTGGTTTAGTGTGTGACGAAATCTCAGCACGGATACAGAAGGCTCGACTAGCTTTTGCCAACTTGCGTCATTTATGGCGTAGGCGAGATATCCGTCTATCAACCAAAGGACGTGTTTACTGCGCAGCAGTTCGTTCCGTCCTACTTTATGGCAGTGAAACATGGCCGGTAAGAGTAGAGGATATTCGTAGGTTACTAGTATTTGATCATAGGTGTCTTCGAAACATTGCTCGTATATCATGGGACCATCGAGTAAGTAACACAGTTGTTAGGAAACGGGTACTAGGTAAGGATGGCAAATCAATTGATGACGTAGTGAAACTTCATCAGTTGAGATGGCTGGGACACGTGTTACGTATGCCCAACGACCGACTGCCTCGACGTGCTATGTTCAGTGGTATAGGAGTAGGTTGGAAGAAAGCTAGGGGCGGCCAAACCAAAACATGGCACAAGTCCATGAAGTCACTGACAAGTGGACTGAGTCATGTTGGTAGGTGTAGACTACCTGGTTGGGGACCGCGAGATGACAGCAACCGATGGTTAGAGACCCTGAATGACATGGCTCAAAATCGTTTGCAATGGCGCAGGTGCATCCACTCTCTGTGTTCTCCCAAATTCTAATCTTCTGATTCCTCCTTGTCTCTTTTTTTCTCTTTCCAAATTTATTTCACTGGATTATACTCTTTAAATAACATCTCCAAACCCTAATCTTTCCGATTACTGCTTATACTCTTACTACCTCTACCACTACGGAATTTGAATCGACAACTGCATCTCTGTGCTAATGTGGTGTGGCAACTCGAACTGATGTACGTACGTACGAAGTTCTACGTTGTTACTGACTGACTGAAAGAATGAATTGGTTAAGAAGGAGATCCTCGTTGTAGCGACCAAGCGGCTTATTAATCAAAAATGCATTATTTCATTATTTTAAATCATATATATTAGTGTAAAGCCATGATAAAAAAACTAATTGAAATTTTTTTCGCTCTATCTGTTCTTTTGTTAAAAAGTGCATTTGCCCGCATGTCTAGTTAATGAACAAGGTGGATACAGACGACAGTTGGCTGACTATTAAAAGTTCGGTTCTGGACTATTTTACTTTTCTAAAAAATCACTAATCATTTTCCTGTTAGTGATTTCAGTTCTGCATCTGATTTCGTCCAGCCGTTGGATACAATAACTAGAATGATGTGAACACACTACCCCAACACACAGATAAATCCAAACGGCAAGTGCGTTATTTCTGTTCGTTGTTCGCAGAAACAGAGTGAAGAGAAAACCTGACTTCTTGTATGATTCTTTCAACTTGAATGTCGCACAAATGTAGGCTGGGTACGGTCAAGCTGAATACTTTAAGCTTAGGTTGTCAGAAACTCCAGACTCTCCAATCGGAAAGTGAGCCTGTTATTTCTAAAACTGTATATAAGTTCAAGCAAAGTAGTTATTGCCATCACAAGGTACTTCGATGCTAAGTAACAGAGCAATTTGGGATGGAAAAGCTTGGTTTAAAGCAATTTTCAGTCTCATGGTTTACCAAAACATGAATTTAAATATAAAAAGACTTCGAACCATCGTTGCTGAAATGCTAGTGAATATGAGACAGGTGATATTGCTATTAAAAACAACTATATGTGATGATCAAAGGAAATTGGCAGGGGATTATCTATTTTACGGTTCCCTGAAGAAGAATTGGAAGCGTTAGATGTCTTCAACAATGAGATACTCGAGATAAATCTAATTGTCAACTGATTTAGTTTGTAATTGCTTTACTTTTTGAATGTCAATAATAACTAGGCTGATGAGTAACCAACTAATAATAAGTTATGACTTTTATATGATATAGTGAAACCAGATTTAGAGACCAAGTTTAAGTTGATGGAAGCTGCCAAAAAAGGTAAGTTTCAATCCTACGACAGTGTAGAAAGTAAGAATTCTTTTTGTGACCTATTCACATCGTCCATTAGCATGGAAACTCAACGTCCAATGTGAGTGAGAAATATCTTCCCAAAGTTTAGGGTTCTACCTCGACAGGTCACTTTTACTACATGAGAGACTAAAAGAATAAACGTTATTGTAGATAGAAAGGTAACATAAGTCACAATCCTCACTATTAACTTTTGCTTTTCATTTTTCAGGCACAGGCATTAGCCCTGCATAATATCACTGTAATTTTTACCTTAACTTGTAACGAACATTTTACAAAAACCTCTCAACGTGTTGATTGTTGTCCCGTTTCAGAGTTCAAGTGACAAACAGTGCCCCATATTGACAACCGATGGGTCGTTGAATTCTACGTTTATATTGTTGCCATTTTTTATAGATGTGTTTCTTAAACATAGACCGACATTTTCAATTAGGTCTAATGCATTGAATAAAATTAGATTTAGCAAGTCTACATAAGAGCCATTCCTAGTAAATATATTTATTCAGTAAAACCTATACAATCCAGACTATTTCTCCCTTTAGATTACAGAAGACAACCATTAATGATGAAAAACTTTTATCAGTTGAAATGTTGTCCGATTGTAATCTGGATATAAATAGTCTTGGAGACTGTAAATCTAGTTCATATGAATAAACGGCTTTTCCCAAATGTTATTTTTTAAATAATGTCAACTACACAGGACACCTATGGTATATAGGCGGTCGCAGATTAACTAATGTTAATGTCTGCGAAAAATATAGACTGCGAAAATTAAACTATTTGGAAGGCATTCAAGATATTTGATAAGAGCTTAAGCAAAGGTTAAAGAGTCAACTTTAGAATATTTTACTTAAATGGTAATGTTCATATGAAATCCTGCACCATTTTACCCCTGGAAAAAGGAGTTAGTTTAATGCATCTTCTCTCAAATTCACACCAACTTTTCTTAAGAAATCTCCCAAGTATTCAACAAATTTCATTATTTGCCCGATTCCGTCTGCTTGTACTACCCAAGGATGTATGTATCAGAGAGACTAACTGAAATCGCATCAGGAATAAGTGATTGAATATCAAAGAAGTCATAAACACTAACATGAACGTACTATGTCGTTGGAACAGACAACCACTCGATAATAGTGACCCTGACCTTAAAATTTTGAGACATTCAAACTCCAAATTTCGATAGGCAAGGTTATCCAAATGGTTGAAATGGTTGTGGAAAGAATAGAAGAAGCTTTCGCTTCACGAAATTCTGTGCCTAGTAGCAGTGAATCATCAACACCTTCAGGCAGAAACCTAGGTACATTATTGATAAAAGAAGAAAAAGAAATTGGTAAGTCATAGTTTCAGTTTCAGTTTGGGAAGGACAGGAGCCCTGATGGCCTGTGTTAGTCCTGGCAATGGTGGTCTCTCAGTTGATCCAACTTTCTTTTGAAAGGGCCGACCGATGGAGCCTCAATCACATACTGAGTTAATGAATTCCACTCGTTGATGATTCGATGTGAAAGTCGATAGTCAGCTGACAAGTAATTTGTTCTCGGATTATGAACTTTTTTGGAGTGTCCTCGTAAATTCTCTGTTTTGGAAGACAAGAAAAATGAAGGCATATCAAGTGCAAATTTGACACTGAGCAATTTGAAAACTGTAATCAAGTCGCCTCTAGTTCCGCGATATGACAACGGGAAAAGGTTCAGCTTGGCCAGTCGAGATTCATACGGAAGCTTCGCTATTCCGGGAATCAGCTTAGTCGCCGTTCTCTGAACCTTTTCCAGAAGCTCACTGTCTTGTTTTAAGCAGGGGCTGGCCGCTTGTATGCAGTACTCAAGTTTAGGACTTATGAACACTGTATACAAAGTCAAAAACGTCTTAGCGTCGACATGACTAAAAGCCATACGTATTGACCATAAGGTTCTACAACATTTGGCGGCTATTGCACAGCAGTGTGCATTAGTCCTTAAGTCTTGACTAACGATAACTCCTAAGTCACTATATGTCTGGACGACAGGTAGCTCAGTGTCATTCATCGTGTATGTATCTGTACTTGATGACCGATATGCATCACAACACACTTGGAAGTATTTATCGGCGACTGCCATGTTTGAGACCATCCAGATAACTTCTTCAGGTCATTTTGAAGTTCTAAGCTATCACTCTTACATCGTATCGTTTTCCATATTTTGACATCGTCAGCATATAGCAAGACCGATGATGATAGGAGACGAGGAGGGTCATTTACATACAAGAAGAATAACACTGGCCCCAAAACTGTACCCTGGGGCACTCCATTAAGCACAGTTTCCCAGCTAGATAACTTTGAGTTTACCTGTGCTCTTTGTTGGCACACAACTAGGAAGTGTTTTATACACATCAATAAATTGCCTCCAATTCCGACATTTCTTAGCTTATATAACAGCAGGTTATGCGGAACTTTGTCAAAAGCTTTTCTGGAATCAATGAAGTCTACGTCTACAGGTTTTTTCTGGTCCTTAAGATCGCACCAGCTTTCACGAGCGACTAATAAGTTAGTGAGACAAGAATATCCTATTCTGAAACCGTGCTGCTTCTCCGAGAGGATCCGGTTTTCATTGAGATAATTAAACTGCTCTTTCTTTTCTAATATTTTAACATCCACACTAGTTAGGCTAACAGGGCGGTAATTCTCAGGTTTGTGTTTCGTACCTGTTTTGAAGACAGGACTTACTATGGCGTTTTTCCAGTCTTTGGGTAAACGACCCTGCATTACGGATAGGTTAAAGCATATACTTAAAGGGTTTGCGACGAAGTTAGATAATCCCTTCAGTAGCCTATGATGTAATTCATCGGGCCCCATGGATTTACCTATGTCAAGCTTATTTAGCAGACCAAAGACATCGAGTTCTTTAATGGTCACGCTATCCAGTGTATATGTGGGGGATCTGTATGCGCTGATAGTAAGTCCTTAAGAATATGAATTATTATTAATATGAATTATTATTCACAAACATCTTATGGGTTTTGGTTGACCAAAAAGTATAATAACCAAAAATTAGCGATAAAGTTATTACGTCCAAAAGTTAATGTAACAATAATAATTTATAAATTAACAACACAAATTAAAAGTTCAGGGACGTTACTTAAATCAGCTAGTCGTTGCGTATTCTGTTGAGTTTTGGTCCCAAAAATCCACAATTATAAATGAGTAATAATTCCACAGAGGTAAATATGACGCCAATAAGTTTCTTTGACGTAGGATATAATGGAAATGGCACAGCAGTCTAAAATGTGGATAATATCCAGTTTAGAACGCAATTGACTTGGTAACGAGCGAGAATAGAACAATGGGTATGTGCGTAGTAGTGTATTTGCGAACAACCGAAAGTGTGTCACGCCATGTTAGAATTACAACGGAAAAAGTGTTCAAGGTCGTTTTCTAAAACAACAGGTACAATCATTTAATGATAAATGTACATGCGGTGAGAAATTGACAAATACAAATAATGTTAAAAACTACTTACAAAATAAGCTTGTCAGATCTATCTCCATATAGCTCCCCCCAGAGTGTCCGGAGGTAACACTGGTTATAATAAAAAAATGTAAGAATATGATATATATGTATATACAAAAATAATATTTACAGTTATAACCAACAAAAGTTGTAGAGATGGATATGACATATACGGTAATAAGATGGAGTGTGTTATCGTTTGAGAATAGCATTAATGTAGCATAGCATAACGAATACAAAAAAGTGGAAATACTGTCATTTAATGTCTTGTTTGGCTAACAATGATAATGTGTAAAACTGTTAATAACCCACACACAAAAAAAATGAACTGTTTATTTTTGTGTACAATGAAGGAATAATTAAATAGAGTTTACCCGTTTATTATTGTAACAATTTTTTTTAAAAAAATGTGACAAAACGAATAATTGTGGAAAAATGTGATTAATTATGTACACTGTTAAAAAAATTTTTTTTAGATGGGATTGATAGTGTAGGTCCTCGATAATTGTTTGCTTTGATTGTTTTAGTTTTTTTATACTGCAAAATGTACGTAACGCTTTGGTTTTTTTATAAGTCTCCCAGAACGTGTTAAACAAGAGGGTGTAGTGCTAAGTTTTTCCTCTTCCTCTTGTTTCTTAGCAATTGATGGGAGTGATTGTTTGTTCGCAGTATTGTCTTCTGTGGCTTGAGGGACTTCGTAGAAAGCTGGTTTTATTCGGTCTATAGAAATTGTCTCATTGTTCCCATTTTTGTTGATAATGAAATATTTGTGAGTGCGTTTTATTACTTTATAAGGGCCTTCATATGGTGGTGTCAGTGGCTTTTTCACCGCGTCTACTCGAACAAAAACAAATTTGCACGTTTCTAAATGTTTATCGAGATGGACTCGGTTGTTATGTTCTCTAGGTGGTATTGCTCTGATGTTCTGCATCATTTGTAGTAATCTGCTTACAAAACGAGAAGGGTCTCCTGGCGTTGTGGGTTCATTCTTGACCAGTTGTCCTGGTAACGTTAATGTCGTGCCATAGACTAGTTCAGCGGCCGTGCATCCGATGTCTTCCTTTACTGACGAGCGAATCCCAAGGAGAACGAGCGGTAAAGCATCGCTCCATTTTGAAGAGTCCGGTTGTGCCATCAGAGAGCTTTTTAGTTGGCGATGGAATCTTTCAACCATGCCATTAGCTGCCGGATGATAAGCTGTCGTTTTAACATGATTTACTCCAAGAAGTTTAGTGAACTCGTTAAATAGGACGGATTGGAATTGGGGACCGCGATCTGTTGTGATTGTTGATGGTACGCCAAAGTTGGATATCCAGCGGTCGAGGAAAACTGAAGCCACTGTCTCTGCCGATGTGTCTTTAATGGGGCATGCTATGGCCCATCTTGTGAACCTATCTATTGCTGTGAGGATATGTGTGAAAGAGTTTGATGGTGGCAGAGGCCCAACTAAATCTAAATGCACGTGCTGGAAGCGTTTGTCAGGGATAGGGAACTTCCCAATTGGACTGTAGGTGTGTTTCTGCGTTTTACTGCGTTGGCACTGGAGGCAGCTACGTGTCCAACGTTTAACATCCGAGTTGATTTTAGGCCACACAAAACGTTCGGTAATGAGCTTTGTTGTTGCTCTGATGCCTGGATGTGAAAGACCATGCAAATGCTGAAATATTTTTCGTCGGCAAGCATGTGGGACAAACGGACGATTGTTGCCTGTTGAAGTGTCGCACATGATGAATGCGTCTGAAAGGGGAATAGGTACAGGTTTGAGGTCTAAGCTAGACTTTTCTTTGCAGACTTTTAATTCTGCATCGTCTGCTTGTAATTTAGCCAAGGTTTCAAGGCTGATGTCATGATTGAGTACCATCGTATTGATATCCCTCCTAGATAGTGCATCTGCAACAATGTTCGAGTGACCTTTGATAAACCTGATGTCTGTGGTAAATTGTGAGATATAATCAAGTTGTCTTGCTTCTCGTGGGGAGTGTTTGTCATACGATGTGCTAAAAGAATGGCAAAGGGGTTTATGATCTGTCATAATGATGAAATCACGACCCTGTAGCAAAAAGTTGAAATGTTTTACTGCTAAATACATAGCTAAGAGTTCGCGTCCAAAAGTACTATAACGTTCTTGTGCTGGCGATAATCTCTTGGAGAAAAAGGCAATGGGGGTAATCTTGTTGTTTACCCGCTGTTGTAATACTGCCCCGACGGCTTTTTGTGAAGCATCCGTGCACAGGATCAACAGTGTTGTGGGGTCAGTATTTAGGTGTTGGAGCATGGTAGCATTAGCAATCATGGATTTAGCTTTTTCAAATGCTACTTTGGCATCGGAAGGTAACTTGAATATTTGGTTCTTTTCTTTCTTGGTACCTGATTTATCGTTTTTCAGTAAATCTGTCAATGGCTGTAGTACATCGGCACAATTTGGTAGAAATCGTCGATAAAAATTACATGTTCCAAGAAAACGACGTAGTGATTTTACTGAGGTTGGTTCTGGATAGCTGGAGATGGCTTTGACTTTCTCTTCAAGCGGTTTAATTCCTTGGGAATCAATGTGGTGTCCCAGGAATTCCAGAGATGAGGCGCCAAATATACACTTCGAAGGGTTGATTACAACACCATAACTTTTGAAACGTTCAAAAAGCGTGTGTAGGTGTTGAACATGTTCGTCAATGGAAGAACTAGCGATTAAAACATCGTCGATATAGACAAATACGAAATCCAAACCTCTAGTTACTTCGTCCATAAATCTCTGGAAGGTTTGAGCGGCGTTTTTTAGTCCGAAAGGCATCCTCAAGAATTCAAACAAGCCAAAAGGTGTGATTACGGCTGTTTTCTCGATATCCTCAGGTGCCATCGGTATTTGATGGTATGCTCGGACTAGATCTAACTTTGAAAAAATCTGTTTTCCATGTAGATTTAAAGAAAAATCATGCAGGTGAGGGATCGGATACCGGTCTGGGATAGTCTGGTTATTCAATCGGCGATAATCTCCACATGGGCGCCAGTCTTGATCTTTCTTGGGAACCATATGCAGCGGCGAGGCCCAAGGACTGTTAGATTGTCTGATTATCCCAAGTTGCATCATATGTTCGAATTCTCTCTTAGCGAACTGCAACTTGTTTGGAGGGAGTCTTCTCGCCCTGGCGCGAATAGGTGGTCCTGTAGTAGTAATACTGTGTTGGACATGATGTGTGGAGCATTCGTTTTGGTAATCAGCTCTGGTTATACTTTCATACTTCGACAGGATATCGGTGAAAATTTTGTTTTCAGGTCTTAACATACGGACTCCATGAATTTCGTAACTGGAGATAGTTGTGCCACTGACCTGTAAGCTTGTGTTTTTGTCGATTAGTTTCTTTTTTGCCATATCTACAAGTAGGTTGTAAGCACCGAGAAAATCGGCCCCGATAATGGGTTGTTTGATTTCAGCTACGATGAAAACCCATGTGAAACGTCTCCGGAGACCGAGATCTAAAATAAGTGATTGTTCGCCATAAGTTTTAATGACTGTGTTATTGGCTGCGACTAGAGACAATTTAGTACTCTGAGGGTGCCGTCGTTGAGAGAGGTGTAATGGGATAATGCTGATTTCGGCTCCTGTATCGACCAAAAAATCTGAGCCCGAAATTCGATCCCTGACATGAAATAGACGGCTCGGGTAGTGGCCAGAAACAGGCGCCGCCATCACTGTCTGGCCGGGCCGTTTCCCTGATTCTCTGTGTCAGACGCAGAAAATGTGCACGGTCGTGTACAACGCCGTGCTTTGGTGCCGTATTTTTGGTGGTACCAACAAACATCAGATGTTCGCTTCGGTGACCGAGACCGTTGTCTAGAAAAAGATCTTCGTCTGGAGGGGGATCTCGATTGTCTAGCTTGGATGGTTGCTATGGTCGATTGCAGAGACGCCAGCTGGCTCGTTAATTGTGTTAACTGCTTTTGAAAGGAGGCTAAACAGCTAATATCTGTTGGTCCAGGTGGTTGCAATGAGTTCACACAGTGATTGTCGTGGTATACTTCCATCATTTTATCTGCCATGTCGGCTAAGTCATCAAGTGCGACGGATTTCCCTGAAACACTGAGAATTTGTCTAACGCTGTGTGGTAATCTTTGAAACCACATTTGCTTTAGGAGGGCTTCGTCTAGCTTGTATGGACCGGCGAGTTGTTTCATGTTTGGGAGAAGTTGAGAGGGTCTTTTATCTCCCAAGTCACAAGATGTTAACAATTGTTGTAGCCTTTTCTCATCTGAGACCGTGGTGCGTTGAATAACTGCTGCTTTTATCTTATCATATGGTTCAGATTCTGGCACGTGATCGATTAAATCCCCAACTTCAGCGGCAATCTCAATAGGAAGTGCACCGACTACGTATGCATACTTTGATGCCTGAGATCTTATGCCTCTAGCCATGAATAAAGCTTCAATTTGAGCAAACCAGACTCTTGGATTATTAATACAGTACGTTGGTAATCTTAACTCTGAGATAGCGTTGATCGAGTTTAAAGCATTATCCTCTGGTTGTGGAGAGTTTAGAAGGTTGGTCGGTGAACTATCTATATCAATAAGTTTACCGGGAGAGTTCATAATGACAAAAACAAAAATTGGGTCGTGCCAAGTAATAATAATAAAATATGTAAATATATAAGGTAAATGTCTATAAAAAAATCGAGGCTCACCAAATAATTGTGGTGGACCAAAAAGTATAATAACCAAAAATTAGCGATAAAGTTATTACGTCCAAAAGTTAATGTAACAATAATAATTTATAAATTAACAACACAAATTAAAAGTTCAGGGACGTTACTTAAATCAGCTAGTCGTTGCGTATTCTGTTGAGTTTTGGTCCCAAAAATCCACAATTATAAATGAGTAATAATTCCACAGAGGTAAATATGACGCCAATAAGTTTCTTTGACGTAGGATATAATGGAAATGGCACAGCAGTCTAAAATGTGGATAATAT